ATAAACCCTGAAAAATAAACACCCTTTCCTGGCCCAGCAGCCCACAGCCTAATATTTACTGTATACCCACGCTTTCAGAAATGGAACTCGCCTGCTTGTTCACCCTCACTAGGGTGGCAACTGCACAGGAGCAGCCGGGCTCACCCATTCAGCAAGAAGCCAACAGCTGGACAGTGACACTCAGACCCCAGCCTGGGTGAGCCTGGCTGAAAGCCCCCTTCTTTCCGGTCCGACTGGAGAGAGGGGGCGGAGCACACACAGCTCTACTGCCTTCCACATCCTTCAGCTGTGCTTCCTCCTGGGAGACGGAGCTGTTCATTAATTTGGCCAAAGCCTTCTCGGGGTCTGTAGGTTTGACAGGCTGGGTGTGTGCGGGCCACCATGCTAGAGAGAGAGGCTGGTGTGTCAGAAGGCAGCCACCTGGCCAGAGGAGGGTCAGCCCCCTTGGTGACCTCCTTCCCCCTGCAGGACACAAGCACCCGGCACTCTTCACTTGTGACTGCTCCTCTCAGAGCTGCCTCCAGGGGGGGATTCTAACCCTGTGGGTGGGGACATTGTGTTAGTTTACAGTGGGCCAGGGCTCCCTCTGTCAGCTCCAACTCAGAGGCAGTAGAGAGAAGATGACAAATTCCCTGCACCGCCTTCCTCCTCAGCACCCCCACCTCTGCACACGTCCACACATGGAGACCCTGACAATGGTCCCTGGGAGAGCCGCCATCTGCGCCTCCTTTCCATATCTGCGCCTCCTTTCCATATCTGCGCCTCCTTTCCATGCCTGCAGCAGCCATGCCCACTCTCCACACCCTTACCCACCTGCTCGGTAGGTGCTGCACTGCCTGTGGTCCCGCCACTACACCTGGGCCTCTGTACCCGTCAGTTCCCCAAGTGTGGTTTTGTATTTCCCCCAATAAGTAGGGAGCCTGTAAGGCCACCTGCTGAGCAAGCTGGGGGAGAGAGTAGGGCGGGGCTGGGAGGATGAGGAGGAGGAGCTTATGGTTGTGCTGGAGACTCAGCGGAGCAGAGTTTATGCAGGCCCATTGGTTGCCTAGCCAGTGGTGATCCCGCTCCCACCCTCATTTCTTTCTTGTTGACAAAACCATGACCTCATTAAATATTGGACACCTATAAACCTCATGGACTCTCCTCCGGCCTCCCCGCCCTGTATTGATGAGTCTAAGTCAACTCTAGTCATTTCATTCCTCTGGATATTGATTGCTTGGGGCTTGGGCATGAGTTGCCTCTTCACCTGAGCCTGAGCCACAGGTTCCCTCTGCACCTACCATGCTGCTGCACTGGGCCAGGGAGAGCTCCGTCTCGATGGAGGTGAGCTGTGAGGAGCTGGTGGCTGGGCGGATCAGGTAGTTGTAACGGGTCTTGTTCAGAAGGTCGTCCATCAGCTTCTGCTCGGCATGGGCCATGCAGCAGTCCCCTGGGTAAACACACAGACATGCTGGGCCCTTGTGCAACTGTCCCCCACTGCAGCTGACAGCTACGAAGCGGGAGCCGAGAGGGCCAGGGAGCACAGCCACCCTGAGGGCCGGCTGAAGCAGCGAAGGCGCTGGCGGGTCTGGCTCTCTGTGGGAACTTCAAATGACATTAATGACAGACCTCAGCTATCTCTTCCCATGCCATACCTTTTCCTCCTCCTCCTCTTTCGATCAATGAATAGCATCCCATGCTCTATACATCTGATACAAAACTGGGTGTCTCTTCCAGACCCCTCCCTTGGTTCATCCAAGTGGCCACCAAGTCCTGTCTGTCCTTGCATCTCCATGGCTACAGCCATGTCCCTTGCTCCTCCGCCCTGCCCACCTTCTGTTCTCTCCACCCACATTCTGCCCCTGCCATCCATGTGCCATGCAGTGGCAGACTGGTCTTTCTACAGCAAACTGGACTAGGGCCCTTCCCTACCCACAGCTCTCAGAGCTGGAGGTGGAGTTGAAACTCATGTTTTGGCTTGGCATTTAGAGATCTTTCCCCCTTGGCACTGGCTTATCCAGAGTGCTCACAGTGCAGGGCAGGAGCCCCATGACTCAAATGTGGGTTTGGTGCAGAACTGGGTCTGAGGTGGTGCTTTCCGTAAGAGACAGGGCTGAGATGGGGGGATTTTCTGGGTTCGGAGTTAGACCTACAGAGTGCAAGGTTTCTCTGAGGCACCAAATGGAGGGCTCCAACTGGCAGCTGGCTCCTGGTCTGGAGCTTCAAGAAGAGGTCTCAGCTCAGAGTCACATTCAATAGCCAGCTTCAATGCAGCTTCCAGCAGGGAGCCCCTGGAGCTTCCACAACCTCAGACCTGCCCCTCTGCACACCCCAGATCTCTTGCCAAGTGGCGTTTGGGTCTTCATGTCATCTCCCTCCCACGTCTGGGAGTAAAGGTGAGGTGCAGGGACTTGAGCTTGTGTACTTTGGTATCTTAAGGGAGAGTGTGTCAAGTAGAGTGGAGGTGGCTTGGAAAGAGGGAGACTCAGAGGATAGTGAAGGACACATGACCAGGCGAGCCTAGGAGCAGGAAAGGTGATGAGAGTGAGCAGAGGAAACTGCTGGGGCAGGGGAGCAGATGTGTCCCTACAAAGGACACAAACTCATCCTTTTTTATGCCTGCATAGTATTCCATGGTGTATACGTGCC